TTTGATTAGTGTACTTTTTCATATTTTTCATACTAAAGTCTTTTTTAGAAGAAAAAACGGACCGAATTCATTCACACATCTAATATTTAAATTGTTTTATAGCAATATTAACTCTTTAACTGCTACGGTCGAGATAACTCGAGTATGAAAAAAAATGGCGGCCTTGCTACGATCGAGTTTACTCGATTTCGACTTTCAATGTGTAATACCCATTTAATTTAGTTTGTAAAAAGCATTTGAATTGAACGGGCATATAGTGCCATCTCTTATCATTATAAAATATTTTATAATTGTAAAAATAACTCAGCGAAGAGGGTCATACTGGTAATTTAATATCTCAGCAGTTAAAGGGTTAATCATAGATTATATTTGGACATTTTTAAATACTTATAAAATATTATCTTTGATAAAATTTGTTTTTGGTAAAATGTAATAAGGCTATTTTGGCTTGACAATCAACAGTTTATTTATTGTGTGACGTGGCGATTTTGGCTGTTCGCGCGTCACAAGAGGCGGAGGGCCTCCGAGAGGGTCCTGGGGACGTTGCGCTCGCCCGCGCCCGCGGGGCGACCTGCGTTTTATCGATACTTTGTCGCGAATGCATTTCGTACTGGCGAGCGATCTCGTACCGACGAGTGCGGGATTGCTTTCCTTTTTCTTTTTGATGATACTCCTGCGTCCCGATAACGTGTGTGCCCCTTCGCCGCGGGTAGCCTCCGACCAGCAGGAGCAGCGGACGAGGGAAATTGGACCGAGGAGGAAGGAGGGGAGGAATCGAGGAGCCGCCGAGCGCACTAAAGGACCTCTCAGGTGATGTTGTTGGCCCGCTCCTAATTTTGTTTTCGAACGATCGTGCCGTTAACATCGCACCGCTGTCGATGTATTTTTGTATATTGTCGCAGCAAAGAAAACAAACCTGGACACGACACATGATAACGAGGAGCCTGGATAACGCGGAAGATGCTCGTGGAAAGGAAGGAAAATATAGAGCAACATCTTGACGTCGCGTAATCCCGGAAGGAAAAAAATTGGAGCAGGGAAGGAGCAACCGGAGCAGCGTCTCTCGGGGTCGGACGAGAAAGATCCACTCTTGGCGAGGACGCGATTTTGGAACGACCGTCGAAATTGTTCGTTGCCGAAAAAAAAAGAGCTACCGAGATTAGAGTCACGAGTGGCCGCAAATTGGTGTCGTGTGTGTACCGCCCTAGCTCCAACGGTGGACCGCATCTAGATATTGCGAATAACGCAAGTATTGCCTCCGTTGTCGAGGCGGAACCAGTGCCGTGGTGAGGGCCCGGGCGGAAGCGAGCCAGAAAGAGAGAAAGAGAGATCGAGCGAGCGCATGGGGCGAGGAGGAGAGCGAGCGGATCTGACGAGCGGAGGAGCGCGACTTACCCGAGGGAGACTGCCGTAGGCGTGCGAACGTGTAAGAGTATCTTTCTGTAGTAGCCCTTTGTCTGTGTGAATCGCTTGCGCGGCGGGACCGATTGGCGGCTGTCGGACTTTAGCGAAAATTTATGTTGAGTAGTGGTGGCCGAAGCCGTTTGGCAGTCTTCCCGCGGAACGCGGGGAGCAGGGCGTCTCTCTCTCGTAAACGGGTGTCGGCAGCTATCGAAATCGCGGGTCGCGTGCCGCGAGGACACACCGGGGTCACTATCGCCTCTCCGTCAGGAGTCATTCGAGGAACTTTTGTCAGCGGTCCGCGAGTCACCGCTTTATACCGAAGATCTATCGCTGAGTAGCGATTCGGGTGGGATTCCGTTGTCGTCCGGAAGAGAATAAAGAATTGTAATCCCGTGGTTGCGCGGGCGGAGATATACGTTTGATTCCTGTTAGAAATCTTGAGTCCTCTTTATTTCAACTTAATACCATTTGTTTCCCGAGAATCCCGAGAGGAAAGACCTACTCCGACTCCGACTATAATCACAGGAGCTACCGGTCTCGTAGGCGATTGAGTCGCCTCGCCACCGCTACAGCTATCGTTCGCGTTGATGGGCACGAGAATCGTGCCTGGCGCCTAACAACTTCCGTTTTGGTGAAATTTTAGGAAGCGACGGAGGGCGGCTGATAGGTCATCGCGAGGTTTTGCCCGCTGCCTAGGCGATAGGAGCGGTCGCAATTGATATAATATATATAGTAGATAGATAGTTTTTATTATTTCCCTTTTCGGGGTTACAATCTTTTATACAATGCTATACCTTATTCGCACGTCTCCACCTGTTCGCCCTACCCATACATATATACACACACATAACCTCTCCTCCTTTCCTCTATTCTTAACTGCTAACTTATATCTAACTTATTACTATTTATATCTATTTTCTTAATACTAAATCTTATCCACTAGATTCTTATACACTATTAGCTTAATATCTACCTCTTACAATCTACTGTCGACCTCCGTTTCTTTACTCTCTCACTCCACTCACTCATTTGCCAACCCCCTTCCCCCCTCCGATCCATCCTCTCCCCTGCTTCCGCTCCCCTCTCTCCACTTCCCTCATCCACCCCTTCCCGTCACTTCCCTCTCCCAATATCCTCTCCATTACCTCCCTCCATCGTATTCCTTCACCTCCCTCCCATCTCATACACTCCTTTCATACATGTTCCCATGCCTCTTCTTCCCCACACATGTTCTATACCTCTTCTTCTCTTGTTCTTCCCAATACCATCCTTTCCTCATCTCATTACCCATTCTAAATCTGATCACCCTCCTCCATCATTTCTTCGCCCATCCCTTTTCCAGATATGTTGGTACTCCCTCTTCCTTTACGTACCTGTACCACTTATTATATCTTGATCCTCTTATCTTTTCCCATCTTTCTTCCTTCTGTAGCTCTCTATCTCTACTTTCTATCGCCCCATATTCTAACGTCTTTTGTTCTTCCTTCCCTATCTTTTTCTCTCTCATAAATTCTTGTTTCTCCTGTTCCCATGTTCCTATCACCCTCTTCCTCTCCCACCTTTCCCTCATCTCCTGCCAATATTTTCTCGCCACCTCTCCCTTCTTATCCTCCTGCAGTCTCCTCTCAAAATTCCAAGTTTTTTTCTCTGCCCTCCCCCTCATTTTCTCTCTCCCTGTCTCCTTCCTAATTATATATTTCGGCGTTCTCCAATCCACTCCCACTGTCTATCTTATGAACCTATCATATATTCCTTCCATTTCCTTCCTTCCCTTCCATCCCTATATCTCCGCGCCATACCCCATCATTGTCCACTTATCAAATAACCATATCTTCTCCATTCTTCTCTAATCTTTACTCCATAGTCTCTTTCCTATTTCTCAAACCGCTCTTACTGATATAATATATGTACAGTATTATTTACACTTCTTCGTGATTACATTTATAATATATGTAGTTCATCATACACAATTCTCATTTCATAAATTCATACATAATTCGTATATAATTATATATACAGTTAAATTTAATCTAATAAATTAAACATAATTAAATTTGAATTAAATTAAATTTTTAAATATATTTCTTATATTACTTTAAACATAAAAATAATTACAAATTAATAGCTTGTGATCAAGTATCATTACAGATGTTCGAGAGATATCTGCGAGATAAAAATAGGATGGGATGCCGCCCTGGCAACCGTCGCAGAAAGCGGCGGCGCTCCCCGGGGCTGAACAGCCCGAGGGGGCGCCGGGCGAGGAGCCGCCCCCGATTCGTTGGGGGCCTCCTCGGGCCCGCCTCCGTACGCGCGGGGGAAGGAGACAAGTTTAGACCTGCATTTTTTTGTCACGCAGGGGAAATCCTCATGGATACCCCCGCCTCTTGGGGAGGGCGGGAGTTATGTCGGACTTTTACCGACTAAAATCCCTGCGGGGTGCCTACCGCTCGGACCGTGGTGGGAGGAGTCAGGAGAACGCCTGCATTCCCTCCCCGAAGTGTAGACCTGCCTCCCCCGCGCGTCTGTAAGGGTTCGTAAAAGGGAAGTGGAGGCCCGTTTGGGGACGGACCCCACTCCCCCGCCCCCGTCAGGTGAAAAGGGGAGCTAGGAGAGAGGATGGATCCCCTCTCTCCAATAATAGGAACCGGAAGGCCAACCCGGCCGAGAGACCGGCCGGAGCGCCGCGCCCCCGAGCCCCTTTGTGGGAGGGGGCGCGGCACTTGGGCGTGGGGTTCCATAGAGCCCCGGGACCGGGGTGTTGGAGAGGGAATGCAGAAGTAGTTCCCCTGGCTCCCCACACAACGGCCTGATCAGTAGACACTCCGGTGGGGTTTTAGCCGGTAAGAGTCTGGCATAACTCTCGACCCCCCCAAGGGTCGAGGGTATCCATGAGAATCTCCCTACCGTTATATATAAAAAAAAAGGTAAAAATAGGAGTCGGGGAGGGAGTGCAGGCACAGTTCCCCCGACTTCCCACACTCCGACCCGCCTGGCAGACACCCCGGTGGTTTTAGCCAGTAAGAGTCCGGCATAACCACCGCCCCTTGGGAGGGACGGGGGTATCCATTAGGATTTCCCCACCATAATTAAAAAAAAGGTAAAAATAGGAAAAATATATTTAAATATATAAAGATATATATATATTTTTTAAGTCCATTAGGTCAAGTATATTAGACTTCAATGTTTTCTTCTTCATGAATCTCACGATGTATGTACATATTTCTTTGGTGACATATGCGTGTCAATTTTTGGTTGTTTTGCATAAAAGTGTTCAGCATAACAATCCGTACGATTTTTTAGACATTTCCGATGATTTAAGGAAAGAATTGCAAAGTGAATTTTCAACTGCTTGATGGCTACAATTTGCAATAACAAAAGATAAAATATTTTCCTAAAGAAATCAAGAATCACTTTAAATTTTTTAAATGGTACTACATATATTTTTTATAACATATCACTTGTAATAATAAATTGTGTGAATTCATCTTAAATTCTTCTACAATATTATATAAAAAATGCATGATGCCATTTAAAAATTTCAAAATGACATTTATTATTTAATTAAGAATATTTTTTCAAAAATTTGTTTTTATTGGACGTTATAGCCTATATGAAGGAATTGAAAATTTACCTTGTAACTTTTTCTTTAAAGCATCAAAATTGTCTACAAAATCGTGCATTGTTACCTTAAACACACACACGTTGTATTACGCTGAGCACCTTATATATTTTATATAATACATTTATTTGTTAATTTTCTATCGCCATTTGGAACAATATATTGGCCATGATCATAATATTGGTTTTCCTTGATAAAGACTTTTCTGCTAATATTTCCACAACATGTTTCGTAGCGTCATTGTTGTGAAAGAATGTTGTGCAAGTCACTACTGCAGCACTTAGGAAAAGTATATTTAACCTCAGGAATGTTGATTTCTTTAAATTAATGGATTCTACATGTTTCTGTGTTTTTTCTTGAAACTGTGAATATAATTCTTCCCACTGAAAACATACAAAACATGTTAAAACATACAATAAGAGTATTGCATAAAAGAAATTAAAAAACAGTAGAATCTCAAATCAAATGCATTTTCGAAGCAACATATTAATTGTGAAGCCAACCATGTACATTATGGTGAAAAAATTTCTCAGATTTTCTCAGAAATTTTCTCTACATTTCTCATCTTTTAGATTTTTGGATAATTATGAGAAATTCCGAAAAAATATGGAAAGTTTTCCAGATTTCTTCAAAAATGACTGTATGAGAGTTTACAGAATTTGTCAGAATCTCTTTGTAAGAAAATTTCTGAGAAATGTTTATAATTTCTCAGATTTTGTCGGAGATAACTGAATGAGAATTCTCAGAATCGTCCAATATCTTTACGTGTGAACATTTCTGAGAAATATCAATAATTTGTTTTTCTCAAAAATAGCTGGATGATAATTCCCTTGAATTTTTCAACAATTTCTATGACTTCAATATGTCTATTAACATTTATGAAAAGTATCAATATCTCTGTTTTTTAAAAAGTAACTGCATGACAATTCTCAGAATTTTTCAGTATTCCTACATATAAAGACATCCTATCGTACCTCTATGTGTATATCTAAAGATCTGTGAAAAATATTAAAAATTTTTCATTGTTTAAAAGAAAAATAACTTTAGATGTATGTGTGTGTGTGTGTGTGTGTGCGCGTATGAGTGTGTAGACGGACTTGCGCACATATATTAGGTGTATGAATTAATTCGGTCCGTTTTTTTTTCTAAAAAATGACTTTAGTATGAAAAAACATGAAAAAATACACTAATCAAAGTATTTGCCATCGCTTGCTATTATTTTTTCCATCTGTCTGGCAGTTGTTGCATTCCGTGACGGAAAAACGATTCGTCCTTCGAAGCAATTCATTCACTGAGCCATTTTTCTATTTCTTCATAATTATTGAAGTGCTGGTCCGAAAAGCCGTGCGCCATCGATCTGAACAAGTGATAATCGGATGGAGCAATGTCTAGTGAATACGGCGGGTGAGGTAAAACGTCCCAGCCAAGTGCAGCCAAGTGTCCTTCACAATCTTTCCAATATGTGGCCGAGCGTTATCGTGTTGTAAGATCACTTTATCGTGTCTCTTTGCATAATCCGGCCGCTTATTCTTCAATGCGTTGTTTAAACGGATCAATTGTTGTTGGTAAAGTTCGGCAGTGATGATTTGGCTCTGTTTTAATAGTTCATGATACACCACACCCTTTTGGTCTCACCATATACAGAGCATTACTTTCTTGCCGTGAATATTCCGTTTTGGTATCGATGTGGATGGTTTTCCTGGGTCGCTAATGGATTTCCTTCGTTTGGGATTATCGAAATATATCCACTTTTCGTTTCCACTCATAATACGATGCAAAAAACCTTTTCTTCCAAAAAGCCTTTTCTTTTTTCCTTGGCAAGCAAGATTTCAGACATGGCTTTTCGCTACTCGATGTCTCTTTCTTTCAGTTCGTATGGCACCCATCTTCCTTCTTTGTAAATCTTTTCCATGGCTGCCAAACGCACAGAAATTGTTAATCGATCAACATTCAACAATTACGTGAGTTCATGTTGCGATTGACACACACCCTTCATCGATTAGCGCCTGCAATTCCTCGTTCTGGAACTTCTTCGGCTGACCTGGACAAGGTTTGTCATTAACACTGAAATCATCTTTTAAAACGTTGAAACAATTCTCTGCATGATTTATCGGTGGGAGCACTTTCACCATAAACTTCTACGAGCATTCGATGAGCTTCAGCGGCTGTTTTCTTCAAATGAAAACAGGAATTGAGAACTTTCCGGAAATGATGCTTTTTTGGCTCGAATTTCGACATTTTCGAATCAGATAAACACGATATTATTGTTACAAACCCAAACGTTTATCAATTGAATATTATTGCCAGATATCAAAACTAAAAAATAAAGCCTTTTGCAGACATTAGAGGTTAGAAAATTACATAGTACAGTAATTGACCGCCAGATGGACTGAATTAATTCACACACCTAATAGATCATAAATATGTACATATATTCTTATTAACTTTAAGTATTTTATGTTGAGGAATCTATATGTGTGTTGATATCAGAGTATATACGCACACGTACATGCACGCGTAAACGCGCGCATACACATATACATGGATACAAATACACCAAAACATTTTAAAGAACAATGGGTAAAAAGTATGGATTTTGGCCCATCGTGGGGAACAAACAAAACACATCATTTCTACAGTATTTTTATTTGCTGAACACGATGTCGTCGTTAGTTTTCCTCTAAACCCCGGGGAACATGTTCAAATCCGAGGAATTCAATAATCGAATGGCCTGGGAATATCTTTGTGTGAACTTTGAAGCTATTGCAAACTTGTGTATTAACTAAATTGGTTAAAGACAGTTTAGATCTTCGATTTAGAAATATTTTCGATTCATTAGTTGAAAGTGTTCTCTTATGCGAAATTTGCTAACAAATAATATACACGGTGTCATAGATCACCCGTATCACTCGATTTTTTGTAAATGCGACATTTTAGAGAAAAATGTTTCAGACAAAAGTTATATGGTTTCAAAGGGGATATATAACAACTATATTATTTTGTTTATAGATGGCGCCACTTTCAAGATATTCACTAATCATTACTCTTTTAAATGGAAACCCCCAACTTTTTATTATACCATCCTTTTTTACCAATTCATTTGAAAAATTCCTCTCACAAGAAGAGGAAAATGTAACAGGATTTATAATTTCAGACACATGAGTAAAACGATTTAAAGTGGCACATGATATTGTATCTCGTAAAATAATTAAATTTGTAACAAAAATATCGCTGCTATCAAAAAAAGATTTAGAAAATAAATGCGATATATTTATTAAAAATGTTATAATAATAATAATAATAAATATTATATTGGTCGTATGGAGTAGAAAATATTTACGATTCTGATCAAAATGGATTTCAATTAGAATTTCATTCCGGTCATACTTTAGCACATAAAGATGTAAAAAGATTTTATCAGCAATCATACATAGTTACACTATACAGCCGACTATTTCCGCAGATGGTAGATTATTGTCGCCGCTTTTTAGAGTATTAAAAGAAATAAAAGGAACGTTTAGTCCGAGAGTACAAGAAAAAATATTCAGAGTATCTAATATTTTTGTTATGGCTTCATTATCGGGCAAACTAACATCATATCATGTAAAAACGTGGTTAAAAAAAGTATTTTTTCTGAATGTTGGGCCACAGTCTGTATTGATATTAGATTCATGGATTGGACATTGTCCTAATATAATTGCAGATACTAGACAAGATTCTGCAAGATATCGTTTTCCTAATCATTCCAGCTGGTACAACGGGAAAAATACAACCTCTAGATGTATACGGCTTTAGATTATGGAAAAATCTTATTAAACAATTTTTTGACGTTGTTCTGTTGTTAGATCTAACAATTGATCTCCATACTAGAGATAATATATTAAAATTGCAATCATTAACGCACCACCAATTTCCATCGCCCAAATTTCAAAATTTATTTAATTAATTAAATGACACATGGGATCTATTAGACCCCAGACGTTTTTTAACGGTGCAAATCTTTGTGACCCTAACGAAATTCAAACTTGTGTTTCTCTTTACTTGTAGTTGGATTCTTGGGCTACCTGTTTGTGCTATTACCGCAGGTCAGTCGCTCGACAGCTGCCGAAGAGAGACGACGGAAATTGGAGTGAGGTCCATTTGACCCCAGTGTGGCATATACGTGGTTCTTGGTAAAAAAAATAGTAATTTTTTTCCTTGTTTTTGTGCATAATTTATAAATTTAAGTCGTAAGTAAAATTTTGTACGCTGTAAGAATTTTTTTGTGACGTGTACACAGTCTGTCCCAGATCCAATGAGACTGGTCTAAAAAAAATACAAAGCGTTTATTATTTTGATTTTTTATTCTTGTTTATTCAAAATAGTCTCCTTCTGAGTCAATACAGCGCTGGAAACGTTCAACAAATTTTTCGAAACATTTTTTATACTCATCGGCTGGAATGGCCTTTAGTATGGCGGTCGAAGTCTTTTGGATGACCGGGATCGAAACGATTTCCTTTCATCGCCAATTTCAGTTTGGGAAATAGCCAGAAGTCGCACGGAGCCAAATCAGGTGAATACGGTGGATGATCGATAACAATGATGCCTGGTCAAGAATTCACGTACCATGATGGCTTTGTGCGATGGTGCATTATCGTGCAACAAAAACCAACTGCCTGGCTCTCGATATTCCGGTCGAACTCGTCGAATTCTGGCCCACAATCGTTGTAGAACTCCCAGATAATATCAGGTGTAGTAAAAAGAAATCCATTATTTTTCCAATAGATGGCTTTAGTTATCTGTATCTCGCGTTGTATAAGTCCGATCGGGTTCCACTAGATGGCGTTAGAAAGATGAGATTTCGTACTAAAAAAACTTTTTTGACAGTTTTGTGATTAGTTGACTCAGTTTTGTTTGAGCGCGCGTCAAAGATGGACACTAGCAAAGTGAAAATACGCTATATTTTACAGTTTTTCTTCGAAAAAGGCGAAAACGCAAGCCAGGCGGCTGAAAATGTGAATAGTGTTTATGGTCCTGATACTGTAACAGCCAATCACGCGCAATTTTGGTTTCGTCGATTCCGTTCCGGTAATTTCGATGTCAAAGATGCACCACGCACTGGAAGGACAATTGTCGAAAATATCGATAAAATCATGAACATTGTCGAGTCCGACCGTCATGTAAGCACTGTTTCGATTGCCCAAGAGCTAAAGATTGCACAAAAAACCGTTTGGAACCATTTGAATAAGGCTGGATACAAGAAGAACCTCGATGTATGAGTGCCACACGAGTTAACGAAAAAAAACCTCATGGACCGAATTTCCATCTGCGAATCGCTGCTGAATCGCAACAAAATCGACCCATTTCTGAAGCGGTTGGTCACTGGTAATGAAAAGTGGATCAC